CCCCAACCCCAAAACCCCAAAACCCCAAAACCCCGAGACTTCAGTTAATGATAGAAAAGATCTTATTAAAAATTATTGAACAGAATCATAAGTTTGAACGGTTATCTCTTCCCTTTCTGCCCAATCTCACTTATACTCATCATCACTGAAGCCAAGCCCAGATCTGTCTGAACCATCTGAGATAAGGAAGGGATGGTTCTTAGCTCTAGATTCATATTCATAATACAACTTTGGACTGATATCTTCCCTAAAGGATATCATCTCAGTACTTACGTTTTATCAAAATCAAGCTTTGTTTTAAAGGTGAAGTCCTCATCTGCCTTATTTGAGCAATCTGTTTGGAACCACGTAGGATTCCTTCTAGTTGAACTCGACTGACAGTTGGTATCTAAAGCATTACGAAGGACAAGTACCAAGAGTAGGGGTATATTTATGCCTCTCTTGACTACAGAGATCGATGATGGAACTATCCTTATTTTTCCCAATGCTTGACAACGACTCAATATCACGCTCTTTTTGTATATAATTTGGATTTTTGGAGCGTGAGCTAAAACAGTCAAGATCTAGTTTCTCCAGATCTTCCTTGATATTTGGATGCTTCTTGTCCTCATTTGTATTCCAAGGCTCATCGTCAAGATAATCTTCAATCTATCACAGATTAGAGATGAGGAGGATACCTTAAGTGACTGATGCTTGGAGATGTTTATCTCTAATTCTGGACTTGCATCCTTCATGCTTTTCTCTGCAGGTTTAGCTATAATATATGGTTAAACTCCTGGTATTGATAAAGATTGAAAATTTTAAAGTAAACTTACTCAGGAAGTCATCCATATTGAGAGATATTCTCTTACGATCAGTTCGAGCAAAATCTCCTATTTTTGAGTGTTTATAGCAGTTTCTAAACTCTTTATCTGCTTGTTGGTATTTGTATCGACTCTTACTTTGAGAGAGTGATTTCAGATCAATCACGACTTGGTTCTGAGAGCCTTTCCTTAGAACAGGGGCAGGAATGTTGCTGTCATTAAGCTGTGAGTCTTCCTCTGACTCTTCTAACTCGATTACCAGATTTTCTTTGTTATCAATTTCGCAAATAAGACCATCATCATTTGAAATTTGTTCTGGAATTGAAGAGGTATATTCCCTGGCCTCATTTGAGTTGGATTCTGACTTCTGGTTGTAAATGATGCTTTTGAAATTGGAGTTACTCTTCTGCCTTGATTTCTCCCTGTAAAGCATCTCTGAGATACTTTCTACTCTAAATTCCTTGAGAATATTGGTTATTTTCTGAAATTTTCTGAAAATAAGACTGACAAATTACTTAGATTGGTTGTTTGACTCGGTGTCATCATAAGCAAATTCTTGAATCTCTTCTTCAGAAGAGGTATTTGGCTCAGTCGGATAGCTCTTACCTAATTTTTTATAGAAGGAATTTACTTGTTGATCCAGATCGATCCATACTGTGCAGTCTTAATTGATTCAGGCATCGGATGCTTGTTTTTATTGGTAAATTGCGATCTAAAACGAATGATTTTAGTAAAATTTGAACAAAAGTAAACACCCAAGAACTTTAATTACATCTTTGCGTGCTCTCCACAGAAGAAATAGAGCCACAGCTTGAAACGCAGGACGAAGATCTGCTCTTATGACTCGAGCTAGACTTGGCAGAAATGTTGCTATTCTTCGCAGAATTTTGCCAAAGTAGTCTGATACGATCATAATTAGGGTTATAAGGGCATCTCTTTTCAATTGTGTCGTTTATCTCAATCTTTAGTCTATAACGCTTGATAAGACAACGAGTTTGAAGACGAAGTTACCTCTGAGCTTTGCTGATATTGGTATAAAACTGGTTCATCACCCGCTCATCTGAGGTATTCATTTTGTTAAACTGAATTAAATTTTATTATTCAATATTTTTGGATGTAAACGGGGTTTTGGGGTTTTGGGGTTTTGGGGTTTTGGGGTTTTGGGGTTTTGGGG